AGTATAGACTAGTAATAATAAAGTGATAAAGTGATAAAGTGATAAAGTGATAAAGTGATAAAGTGATAATAAGGGAATAAGTTAATAAGGTAATAAGTTAATAAGTTAAAGTGTAGGTAGTATAAGTATAGAAGACAAGAACATAGTATAGTCATATAATCATATAGAATAGATATAAAAATAGATAAAGGTATAGAAATATACATAATAATAAGAACATATAAACATATAAGAATATAATAAACATAAATAACATAATAATAATAAACATAATAAAAAACATAATAATAATAAACATAATAATAATAATATATATAGAATAGATAAATAGATAAATAGATACATAATAATGGAGATGAGGGGTATCGATCCCCTTGCCCTTCGCATGCGAAGCGAAAGCTCTACCAATTGAGCTACATCCCCTAAGGTAATAATAGAGATATAAGAAATGAGAGATATAGGAAAGGAATAGATATATAGAGAAATAGATATATAGATAATAAAAAGTTAAAAGTATATATAAGAATAAGACAATATATATAAGATACAGTTAAAAGAATGCATCCGGTGGGGTTCGAACCCACGCATCTTGCGATAGCCGTTCTTGAGACGGCCCCCTTAGACCACTCGGGCACGAATGCTTCGTTATAGAAAGGGAAAAGAGTAAGAAAATGAATAGGAATAGTAATAATAATAAAAAGGAATAAAATACATAATAAGGTGTACATATACATAAGGGTGTATAAGTTGTATAAGTTGTATAAGTTGTATAAGTTGTATAGATAAGAAAGATAGTATAAGTAGTATAAATACTAAGATACATATATAATAGAAGTAAAGATAATATAGTAAGAAGTAGAATAAGAAGTGTATAAGTATAATAAACATAATAAACATAATAAACATAATAAACATAATAAAGAACATAATAATAATAAACATAATAATAATAATAATAGAAATAAGAATATAGATATATATAATATAATAATATATAAAGAAACATATAAGTGAAGTGTATAAAAAGAATGCATCCGGTGGGGTTCGAACCCACGCATCTTCCGATAGCCGAGCTTAAATCGGCCCCCTTAGACCACTCGGGCACGAATGCTTTGATATATAAATACAGAAATAATGAAGTCTATAAACTATAAAGGTATAAGTCAGACTATAAGATACACACATATAGTATAGACTAGTAATAATAAAGTGATAAAGTGATAAAGTGATAAAGTGATAAAGTGATAAAGTGATAATAAGGGAATAAGTTAATAAGGTAATAAGTTAATAAGTTAAAGTGTAGGTAGTATAAGTATAGAAGACAAGAACATAGTATAGTCATATAATCATATAGAATAGATATAAAAAATAGATAAAGGTATAGAAATATACATAATAATAAGAACATATAAACATATAAGAATATAATAAACATAAATAACATAATAATAATAAACATAATAAAAAACATAATAATAATAAACATAATAATAATAATATATATAGAATAGATAAATAGATAAATAGATACATAATAATGGAGATGAGGGGTATCGATCCCCCTTGCCCTTCGCATGCGAAGCGAAAGCTCTACCAATTGAGCTACATCCCCTAAGGTAATAATAGAGATATAAGAAATGAGAGATATAGGAAAGGAATAGATATATAGAGAAATAGATATATAGATAATAAAAAGTTAAAAGTATATATAAGAATAAGACAATATATATAAGATACAGTTAAAAGAATGCATCCGGTGGGGTTCGAACCCACGCATCTTGCGATAGCCGTTCTTGAGACGGCCCCCTTAGACCACTCGGGCACGAATGCTTCGTTATAGAAAGGGAAAAGAGTAAGAAAATGAATAGGAATAGTAATAATAATAAAAAGGAATAAAATACATAATAAGGTGTACATATACATAAGGGTGTATAAGTTGTATAAGTTGTATAAGTTGTATAAGTTGTATAGATAAGAAAGATAGTATAAGTAGTATAAATACTAAGATACATATATAATAGAAGTAAAGATAATATAGTAAGAAGTAGAATAAGAAGTGTATAAGTATAATAAACATAATAAACATAATAAACATAATAAACATAATAAAGAACATAATAATAATAAACATAATAATAATAATAATAGAAATAAGAATATAGATATATATAATATAATAATATATAAAGAAACATATAAGTGAAGTGTATAAAAAGAATGCATCCGGTGGGGTTCGAACCCACGCATCTTCCGATAGCCGAGCTTAAATC